ATCAGCGCTCTGAGTCGGCATCAACCTCAACCTTTCGAGACATCTTCAATGTCACATTAGGGAGGCACTCGAGAACAAACAATGACAGCCGTACGACCGAGGTTTCCGCTCGATCCAGCCCTCATATCATCCAACCAGCATTGCATGGGACACCATACACGCCTTTTGGATCTCCATATTCACAGCCGGGTCTTTTCGGGGGGCAGCAACAGCCGCCTGTCCAGCCTATGGACTGGCAGCTCCGGCTGCTCAACCTTGGGGAACAGCCAACGGCGTGTTCCAGGGAAATCACCGAGATGGCCCAGCCGTCAAAAATTAAAAACGTGTTGGTGGGTGCCTATGACGGTACCACCAACCTGGAAGATCACCTCATGGCACACCAACCTGATGTATTTGCAGGGTTTGGATGATGCCTCATGGTGTAGGTGCTTCCCGGTAACATTGAAAGGGATTGCTCAACGTTGGTTTGGCAACCTCCCAGCTGGATGCATCAATAATTTTAGGACGTTGGCCTACTGGTTTACGTCCAACTTTTCTATGAATATTCCTGCCAAGAAAACAAGCCTTGATCTAGGGGCAATTTAGTAGGGAGATAAGGAAGGGCTCTGGTCATATGTCAGGCGGTTTAACCTGATGAGGATCCAAATCCATGGATTGTCTAATGACGTTGCCTACACTGATTTCTTTAAAGGCCTAAAAGACGGGTCAACTTTTAAGTTTGACTTGGTTAGGAAGAGGGTCTCTACTCTTCACGAGGCGCTTATGAAGGCGGAGGCTTACATTCAAGCAATGGAACTCTGTGCTGTGAAACTTCCAACGGATTATAAAAGACCCGAGAAAAAAGAGAATCGGCCTACCCATCCGGTCAAAAAGGAAGAAAATAAGAGAAAGGGGGTATGGGCAGCAGACTCATCCAGACAACCTTTCCAGAAAAGAAAGAGGTCGGATCCATATGTGCCAAAATATGAATTCAACAAGGATTGTGCCTCCATTCTCAAAGAAGTAAGGAACCGGTTGAATCTTGAAACACCGGCTCCCATGAAGAGTCCCGTGAGCGCCCGAGATAAGAGCAAATATTGCCTCTTTCATGAAGAAATTGGCCATGATACTGAGGGTTGTTTTAGTCTCAGGCGGCTCTTTGACCGGCTCGCTGATGAAGGGGCTCTCAAGTCCTATTTATCCAAGTCAAAGGGTGGTCCCAAAAAAGTAAAAGGACCACCCCCAAAGACACTGGCAAATAAATCGGATACGGATGAGGATACCATCCTAACCATATATAGCTGGTGGATTTGCGGGAGGTGGGCCTATCATCCGGGGGACGAAGGATAATATTAGGAAACTGGTTAACTCAGTGGATGAGGGCCAGTCGTCTAAGTATTCATTTCCAGAAGTTAACATCTCCGAGAAAGATAGAGGACATGTCAAGCGGCCTCATGATGACCCCATAGTCATCGAGTGCAAAATCGCCAATCAACGAGTTGGCCGAATCTTAATTGATACTAGGAGCTCATCTAACCTCATAAGCTACCGGTGCTTGGAAAAACTCAAGTACAAGCCCAGTAGCATGCATCTGGCCTCATACCCTCTTGTTGGTTTTGGGGGAGGAGTAGTACATCCGGTGGGCATGATTGATCTACCCATCCGGTTCGGAGAAAAGGGAAAGGGTCGGCACATGGTTGTCAAGTTTCTTGTTATAGGAGAACTGACTACCTACAACTTGATTATTGGCCGCCTAACCCTTAACTTCTCAAAAGAAGTCATCATCCAATCTCTAATGTTGATGAAGTTTGAAAGGGATGATGGCACAATCGGTTTCTTGAGTGGGGACCAAAAGATGGCGAGAGAGTATTACCTCTCGGACATCAAACCAACGCTTGACACAGGCGGTCAAGAGAAAGAAATAATTGAACTTGACGACTGTGATCAAAGCTCACCAGCTATTAAGAGAGCCGGTAAAAAGAGAAAGGCGGACCAAATGGCACCTATCAAGGAGAAACAATTGCAATCACTGTTAGGGGAGAGGCCAGACGGCCTTCGCCCACAACCGGCTAGAGAAATAATTGACATAGTCCTCGAAGACAGCCGGCCAGACAGAACCGTTAAGATTGGGACGGTTGCTTTTGAAAACTTGGGACCTGACTTGCTCCTTTTGCTGCAGGAATTCAAAGATGTGTTTGCCTTTGAAGTAGAAAAGATGCCGGGTGTAAGTCCGGATCTTGCTGTTCATAAACTTGATGTGGATCTTAAGAAGAAGCCGGTTAGGCAAAAGAAAAGGAACCATGGCGAGGAAAGGTCCAAGGCGGCAGCAACTGAGGTTAAGAAACTCTTAGATACTGGGTTCATCAAGCAATGCTACTACCCGGATTGGGTAGCCAATGTTGTCCTTGTGAAAAAGCCGAATGGAACCTGGCGGATGTGCGTAGATTACACAAACTTAAACAGGGCTTGTCCAAAAGATAGCTACCCGCTTCCAAAGATAGATCATTTCGTAGACTCTACAGCCGGCCATGCCCTGATGAGTTTTATGGATGCCTACTCCGGCTTCCATCAGATACCCTTGTGAAAGAAAGACCAAGAAAAGACGACTTTCATCACAGATCAAGGGCTATACTGCTACACGGTGATGTCGTTTGGGTTGTAGAATGCGCCTGCCACTTTCCAACGAATGATGAACTCGGTCTTTTATGATCAGATTGGAAGGAATGTGGAGGCGTACATCGATGACATGATAGTCAAGTCAAAACTACAGGCGGATCATCTAGCTGACCTCTGAGAAACCATCACCACCCTCAGGCGGCATAAAGTCATGTTAAACCCGAAAATATGCGTCTTTGGAGTTGAGTCTGGGAAGTTTCTCGGATTTTTTATTGATCAGAGAGGCATAGAGGCCAATCCGGACAAAGTAAAGGCGGTGATTGACATGTAGTCGCCTCGTACCGCCAAGGAGGCTCAAAAGCTTACCAGTTGCCTTGCGGCATTGGGGAGATTCCTTATCCGGTCAGGTGACAATGGCCTGTATTTCTTTCAAGCAATAAAAAAGAGGTCAAGGTTTAAATAGGGTGAAGAGGCTGAGGCGACATTTCAAAGGCTGAAACAACACTTGCATTCTTTACCAAGATTAGTGAGTCCCCTACCCCAAGAGGCTCTCTACATGTACTTAGCCGTCTCAGATCATTCCTTAAGTGTCGTTCTCCTTGCTGAGAGAGATGGCAACCAGCTCCCGGTCTACTTTATAAGCCATGTCCTCCCAAATGCTGAACTTCGCTATCCTATGATCGAAAAATTCGGTCTGGCTTTGTTCAAAGTAGTCAAGCGGTTGAAACCTTATTTCCTGGCTCATCTGGTTACCGTCTATACTGACCAACCGCTCAAAAGGCCTATGACCACTTTAGAGTCATCCAGAAGAATGATTAAATGGGCTGTGGAAATTAAAATTCTAGAAATCACTTTCGAACCTAGGTCGACAGTGAAGGGTTAGGTGTTTGTCGACTTCATTATTGAAATGACAATGCCGATACAGCCAGATAATACTGATCAAGTTTGGAAAGTTTATGTAGACGGGAGCTCTACTGTGAATGGTTGTGGGGCAGGCGTAATTTGTCATTCTCTAGAGGGGGACAATTACGAATATGCTCTACGATTCAAATTTCACGCTTTAAATAATGAAGCTGAATACGAGGCCCTGCTAGCCGGTATCCGCATGTGTAAGGCAGCCGGGGCAAGAAAAGTTGAAGCCTGTTCTGATTCTCAACTCATCGTTAGCCAGTACAACGGTGATTATGAGGCCACCCATCCGGTGACGATTAAGTATCTTCAGGCGGTCAAGGAGGAGGCTGGGGCATTTGATGAATTCAATCTAAGTCAAGTACCCAGGTCCGAGAATAATCAGGCGGATGCGCTATCAAAATTGGCATCATTCGCCACATGTGATACGCCTAGGTGAGTCTTTTGGGAAGTCATGGAAAAGAAAAGCAATGAACATGATCCCATTGGAGTTCTACATCGAAGCTACACTTGGATGGACCCCATCCAGGATTACTTGGTAGACGAAACTCTACCGGGTGTCTCATCAGAAGCGGCTGCTCTTAAAAGACGAGCATTAAGCTTCGTAATGCACAAAGGTGAACTCTTTTGGAAGGGTTACCTGCAGCCACTATTCAAATGTGTTACCCCGACAAGGGGAAAGGAAATACTAGAACATCTGCATGCCGACTTCTGTGGATCACACATTGGCGGGAAGACTCTTGCCAAAAGAGCCAGGCGGCAGGGATACTTTTGGCCCACTCTCGAGACAGATGCATAAGATCTGGTAAAAAGATGTGACAAGTGCCAGAAGTTTGGCCTGCTGATCCGACAGCCGGCCACTGATTTAACGGCTATTCACAGCCCTATTCCCTTTGCCAAATGGGGCATGGACATTTTGGGGCCATACACTCCAGCCCCAGGCGACAAAAGATACATTTTAGTGGCTGTTGATTACTTCACAAAGTGGGTTGAGGCCGAGGCGGTAAAGGGCATCAAAACTAAGGATGTCATCTCCTTCATCTGGAGAAATGTCATCACCCGGTTCGGAGTACCTATGTCAATGGTCTTTGACAATGGCCCCCAGTTCGAAACACCTGTCCTAAAGACTTGGTTGCAAGATCAAGGGATTTCCCATTACTTTGCATCCGTTGGCCGTCCTCAAGCAAACGGTCAGGTTGAAGCTTTTAACAAGCTCATCTCAGGCGGTATAAAGAAGAAGATTGAAAAAGCAGGCAGTCTTTGGGCAGAGGAATTGACTCATGTTCTTTGGTCTATCAGAACCACTGAGAAGGGGTCAACCAGTGAAACTCCATTTCTTATGGCATATGGCATAGAGGCGGTGCTTCCCATTGAATTATATGAGCCAACACTTCGAATCATGTTACATGATGAAGAGGCAAATTGGGAAGCCATGCGCCTGTCTTTGGATACGCTTCCTGAAAGAAGGGGCAATGCCACCTTGCGTCATGAAATCTACCGCCTGCGAATGATGAGGGACTACAACAAAAGGGTGCGCAAACGCCCCCTCAAAGTTGGAGATTTTGTTTTACGAAAGCTTGAGGCAACCGATAGGGCGAACGAACAAGGGAAACTAACCCCAAACAGGGAAGGACCCTACCGGATTTTTGAAGAAGTTAAAAACGACACATACCGCCTGGAAACCCCAGACAGCATGCGGCTGCCTCGGACCTAGAATGTAGATAACTTGAAAAAGTACTACTTCTAAGGAATTTGTAATTTTTTGTAAATAGTATTGAAATGTGAAAGCATATAGTTTCCATTCATACAATTGTATTAGCACCTGTCTAGTGCAAAAACACAGACAGAAGAACACTTATTAAAAACCACTGCTCCAAAAAGAGCAGTCATCCGGCGACACCCATCCGGGTGAAATCGTTGAAGAGAACAGCTCCCTTCCGGGTGGTACATTGTTCTAGCGATCAAATGACTTAAACGGCATTTACTTAAAAGAAACTCGCAGCCGTTAGAAATGATCCTTCGCATCTAGGATTCATCAGCAAGGACCCAAAAGTGGTCCATCCGGCAAAGTAAAAATCCTAGTGGGTTAATGCAATCGGGTTTTATCTAAAAGCCAACCAAACGGTTTTTGCAACCCATTCGGCTGCCTGTTTACCGTTGGATTAAACAGTTGGCCATTTCAGGGGCATTTTATTGTACCAGCCGGAATAGGAGTAGATCAACCATTGATCACCCATCCGGCTGCCAATGAAACGGTTGCTTGTTTACCGTTGGAGTAAACAGTCGGCCATTTCAGGCGCATTTTATTGTACCAGCCGGAATAGAAGTAGATCAACCATTGATCACCCATCCGGCTGCCAATGAAACGACTGCCTGTTTACCGTTGGAGTACACAGTTAGCCATTTTAGGGGCATATCATGGTACCATCGCTTCATCCGGCGAAAAATAGAACGACTGCTCATTTACCGTTGGAATAAATAAACAACCATTCTACTTTGAAAGAATATTAACCAGACGAGTAGTTAAAGCTTTGTAATACTTGTAGAAATTGTATAAATAAAAATTAAATGCAATAGAGAGAATATAAAATAGCAAAACCGACTACGTCGGCCAGTAAATTACAAAAATTTTCAAATGTTAACCGGACCCTTGTCTGAGCAAAGTACATTGATGACCACGGCACGCAGGCCGGTAAAAGAAGTTATATATAAAAAAAAAGAGAGATTCATTGCTGCTCCTGTTGCTGTTGTTGCTCCGGCTACTGCTGCTCCTGCACCTGCTCCTGAGCCGGCTCTTGAGTCTGCGCCTGCTGCTCACCCTTTTGTTGCTCTTCTTCGACCAAACCGGCCTACTCCTTGAAGGAAGCAGGCGGGTCCAGTCCAAGGACCTTGGCATCATATACCTCTGAGGCATACTTATACCTAAGGTCGAATAACTCGTAGTCATAGTTCGGGTGTATGAGCCCCCAGGCAAGCTTCATGCGCTCCTCAATGTCGGTCTCGTCCTCAGCAATTAGGCGGCGTTGTTCTTTTTGAAGCTCTTCTTTATGAGCCGCCTGACTAGAAGCAAGTTCATTTTTGAGCCGATTGATGTCAGCGCGAAGGTCGACGTTTTCCTTGTCATCTCCTTCCAAAGCCTTGAGATCGGCTTGGAGATTTTTGACCTTCAGATCTAGCTCATCCGCCCTCGCCTTTTCCGCCTCAGCAGCCTCAATAGTTTGCTTCAGCAATTCCTCCTATTCCAACTCTCGCCGTTTATTTTCCATGTCATATTTAATGGCATTGTATTGGGAAACATCAATGAGCTCAAATGCCCGTCTCTGGGCATCCCTTACCTCCTCTTGCTTCTTGCGCAAGGGGACCTGAAGCCCGTCAACTCTCAGCATCACCTGTGATATCAGCCGGTAGAGGAATGTTAGAATTATTTTCAAACAACTAAAGCGGCAAACAAAGAAATTACAAGAAGGTGATGCATCCGGTAAAATTACTTCAGCCAGGAGAGAAGTGATCCGGTCAATGTTGACTGTATGCACAGCCGACACAACCTCTTTCTCGGTCCGGGTTAGGGTCCAGATCATCCTCTTGGCATACTGTTGATAGTTGGGCCGACTGGAGGTAGCATCTGAATTAGAGATTTATCTGTCAGGTGTTGGGCATACGCCGCGCCAATATTCTGACGGCTGCCAGAAGAATCCCCGGATTGGCAAGCTTGGGTCTTTACTCGCATAGGCCCAAGCGGCTAGGGGGGATCAAAGGAAAAAGTCATACCTTTATCGAACTGTGGGGTAGTATCACCCCCAGCCGCGTTTGAGCCAGTACCCGTTTGAGTCTGGCCAGCCGGAGTCACCGGCTCCTTTATACCCTCATCCACCACTTCAATTGTGGGAACAATTCCACTAAGGCTCTTGCCTGCAGTGGTGGGCCTACCTCCTGCAGGCGGTTTAGGAATAGACTTAGCTGGCGGGGGAACCCGCATCTTCAGTGCCTTAGCAGCAGGCAAAGGAATGTCCCCCGCCGGTCTTTTGACCATCTTAGATAACGAGCGAGGAACAACTTTGTTCCCGGCCTGCAAATATACAAGACCAACCGGTTAATGTCAACAACGGCATACATATGCTACAACCGGTGAAGTAGATGAAATAAATGTTACCCCGCCGTCTTTAGCCGCCAGCTGCAACTTTTTCTTCTCAATTTGCTCCTTCCGAAGCAGAGCGGCTGAGTTAACCGGTGTTTTTTCTTTTGGTATCTTCTCCATCGCAACTTCTGCAAAAACAAAAGAAGAATGGTTAATATGCAATATAAAGTACCAATATCAGGCGGCAAAGGCCGGTGAATAATAAAAACCTACTCTTAGGAAGCATGGTGCTAAGGTGGGTATTTATTGTATCTACGCAGCTGGCGATTAAGTTGAGGAGATGGTGAAGAAACGACATAAAATTTGCTCTTCCAGCTACTCCATTTGGACGGTTTGTCCAACATCATCATATATTCCGGGTGCGTGGTTAGAGTATACCATGCATTCCACCCACCCGGCGCCCTGCTGAGATAATGCATGTGTGCAAAGGATTCCCAGCTTGGTTTGACCTCTTGCATCTCGCAGGCGGCAATGTATCCAAGAATGTTGACCCATAAGTTAGGAGTCAACTGCCATACACCCAAGTCATACCCCCTTAGTATGGCTTTAATGCAGTGGTAAAGGGGGAAACGGAGGCCGGCTGTGAACGCCGCCTCATAGCAGCCGAAGTAGTTGTCGGCATTGTCTACGTCGTCGGTCCAAACGACGCTTACCTCTACAGACGGGACAACCACTTCCCAGTCCTCCCCTACAGGCTTCTTCTCCAAGAAAGTAGGTAGTGTTGCATTTAGAGTAACCACATCCCTGGCGGATATGGTCATGTCAATAGGGTCGCCTGTAGCCGGCCACTTATAGGCGTCCTCATCAATAGGGGCAGCCGTTCCAGGAGACTCCTCATCTGAGTCGAACCCCTCGTCATCTGATCCTTCACCGGATTCTCGGCATTAGAACCAGAGCTACCTAATATGCTATCACCCGGTGTGCTAGGTTCACTCGGGGAGTCCTGCGGAGTATTTTCATTTAGAACCCTCTCAAACGGTCCCTCCATCTGATCATCATCTAAATGGTCAGCCGGATCTACGGCTGTGTCATCAGACTTGTAGTCCGGATCTACTGCCGTCCATCTAATCCGAGCCATTCTGTTCTGCACATGAATAGAAACGGTCGGATTCGAAGTAGGAGAAGGTTGTCCCAAGCACCCCCAGATGGCAGTCCCAGTCCTAGACTCAGCCGTCCCTGGTGACCGGCTGACCACTGTCGTAGGCTGTGCCGTGTTTATATTGGTGGAGTCCATGTCCTAACTCTATATGCACAGCCGAAAAATAAAGGGAAAAGAATTACTAAGGATACAGACGGTACCTTAGAATTTGAAGCTTGGTATGTGGAAATGGGCTTGAAGTCACCTCAGGCGGAGAACTCCACGAATGTGTTTTAAGCTGAAAAGACACAAGCACAAGTTAGCCGGTTATTCATAAGCTCAGTCAAAGAGACCACAGACGGCATTTACCGCCTGTGATTGTTTAGATCTAGCTAGATTATTGTAAAGCTCTCTATGATACCCCACACGGTATTCAGCGAGCTAGGTCAGAAGTACCCCAGACGGTATAAGACCGGATGGGGGTTATGACTTGCATTTTTGTAAAGGCTAGCTAGATTATTGTAAAAGTCTCTATGATACCCCATACGGTATTCAGCGAGCTAGGTCAGAATTACCCCAGACGGTATAAGACCAGATGGGGGTTATTACTTGCATTTTTGTAAAGGCTAGCTAGATTATTGTAAAGCTCTCTATGATACCCCAGACGGTATTCAGTGAGCTAGGTCAGAAGTACCCCAGACGGTATAAGATCGGATGGGGGGTTATGACTTTCATTTTTGTAAACTTAGCAAGATAACTTGTAAAGTTCACTAAATAATACCCCAAACGATATTCAGTGAGCTAGGTTAGAAGTATCCCCAAACGGTATAAAACCGGATGGGGGTGGGGAAAATAAGCATTGGTTAAAATAGTAAAAAGAAATGTAAGGCTCACTCCATGATACCCCAGACGGTATCAAAGAAGTTGGGGCAGAGGTACCCTATTTGGTAAAAATACCGGATGTAGGAGCTGCAAACAACATTTAAAGTCAACCATACCCCAAACGGTAAAATACCGGATGAGGGTATAGTAAGACCTGTTTCAAAAAGGCCTGTTCAAACAATACCCAGACGGTGAGTCGTTCAAACAATACCCAGACGGTGAGTCACCGGACGGGGGTGCATTGAATGCACCTTAAAATTTGAAAAGGTCATGAAAAGACAAGGATGATGACCCAACCGGCTTTAAAACCGGTTGGGGTTTTTGAAATCATCACTTAACAAAACAAATACCCAGGCAGTGTAATACCGGATGGGGATGCTTTAAAAGCCTTGTTATTTGAAAGAAAAAAGAAAAAAGGTAGTCTAAACTTGGAAATGGGTCTAGACCTCCCAGGTGGCTTACCACCTGGATGGGGAAAACATTCAACAAATCCTCAAAAAGAAAGAAGTAAAAGAGAATGAAGAAAAAGATCTGGCACCTTAGAAAAATTGCAGAGAAATTACCCAACCGGTAGCCGTATGTACTTGATCTCACAAGGCCGGATGCAAGAAAACTAGAAGGAAATTAGCAGCCAGTATCAGAGCACTCAAGAAATTTTTTTAAAAATATGCAAAGTGTGGAGAAGAGAGAGAGAGTGTCTCTCATTTATAGAGAAAGAGCAGAAGGCGAAACGATGCCTTCTGCCCTAAAAACTTAAAATTTGAAAAAAGGAGGGAAGAAGACGAACCGTCTCCTCCCATGCATCTGACACTTGTCACAGGTGACACGTGGACATGCCACGTCACACCTGTGAGGGGCAGATGTTTAGGGTAAAAATACCCCTAAGACACGTGGCCCTATAATGGCTTGCCACGTGTCAAGTTCGTAATGGTCAGCAAAGGCCCAATCCCTTTGCGACACGTGTCATTGTACCCTAATTAAGGTACAGCTCTTCCCTACTATAAATAGTAAGGGCAGACCTCATTTATGGGGATCGAATCATTTTCCCAACCACCAACCAAACACAAATCCCCTTGCAAACGCTCTCAAATCGAGAAGCATTTATTGTCTTATCTCCTCATTAAGAAAGATACAAACTTAATCTTCGGAGGCGGAACACCCCAGCCCCAGCCAGAGTTTTCCGTTACTTGTGCAGGTACAGGAAAAGGAAGGAGCATACTAGGAAATTGTAACTCTCCCATAGGACACATAAAAAACCCCCACACAGAGCTAAAATATGCCATTTTAAGAACAACACTTACCGAACTAATGCCCGTATGTGATGGGCTACGCCAAAGCGAGGCATCACTACCTCCCTAAGAATGTAAGGTATACTAGGTATACGAGTTATTCTTGGTTAAGCTCGACGATATCAGTAAAGAGTCCTTTGATGTCGTGGAAAAAGAGATAAGACGTCAAGGATGCATTAGATGCGACGTTTTATCAAACCAAGATTAAGATTGAAAATTTGCATGAATGCTTTTAAATTTCAGACAAGCCAAATCATGCTTAATCACTTTTTGATTTTTGGGATCTTTGAATCATTTTATTCTCGCCAAAAGGGACAAATTATTAATGCGTGGAAAAATGCTCAATAAGATTGAAAATTTGCATGAATGCTTTTAAATTTCAGACTTATTGGTTTATGAATGGTTTTTCATTTCAAATTCTTTCAATTGTAGAACCATGTCTGCAAGTAACTCAAACAACAATTCTAGGTGCCCGGAACTCCCCGACAAGTTGGCTTTTAGCCTCAACTTGGTCAAATTCAAGGAGTGGGAGGAGAAACTCTGGAAAACTCTTCGGAATTGTTCCTTGGAGTACACTCTTGATACTCCCATTCCAAGCTTCTTCTCTAAGGGGATCAATAATTAATTCCAATGGAATATTCCGTAGAAAAAATAAGAAATTCCGACGGATTTTAATTCCGTCGGAAATTTCCGACGGATTTCCGCAGATTGTTAAAAATTTTCGAAAATTTCCGACGGAATAAAAATCCTTCGGAATTTCTGATTTTTTCGACGGAAATATGTGTCCGTCGGAAACAGTCCGTCGGAAATCGGCCTATTTCTAGTAGTGTTCTTAACCGAGCTACTTCCTATGGATCAACCGAAAGGCCCCTCAGACTAAGAAGGAGGGAGTTCAAGAAAAAGGCAAAGATTCGTTGCTTCTATTGTGGTGGGGAAGGCCACTACAAACGAGAATGCAAGATCTTTCGCAAGGATGAGGAGGAGAGGAATGTTCCGACTACCTCAGGTATCTTCCTTAAACACTTGTGCATTAAGCAAATCATAGGTATTAGATATCAAATATGACTCACTTTAGTAAGACAAATCAAAATTTCATCACCTTCACCATCGACTATAGTAGATATGGTTATGTCTACCTTATGTCGAATAAATCTGAATCCTTTGAGAAATTCAAAGAATTTCAGAGTGAAGTTGAAAATCAACTTGGCAAGAAGATTAAAGCACTTCGATCGGATCGAGGTGGCGAATATTTGAGCCAGGAATTCGACGATCACTTGAAAGAAAATAGTATTCTTTGAGCTGACACCTCCTGAAACTCCTCAAGGGAACGGAGTATCCGAAAGGAGAAATCGAACCTTTTTAGACATGGTTCGATCAATGATGGGTCTTAGTGAACTTCCTATCTCTTTTTGGGGACATGCGCTACTAACTGCGGCACTAACACTAAACCGTGCTCCATCAAAAGCTACAAAAAGACTACACATGAATTATGGAATAAGAAACCTCTAATGTTGTCTTTTCTTAAGATTTGGGGTTGCGAAGCATATGTCAAGCGATTAATTTCGGACAAGCTTCACCCGAAATCAGACAAGTGTTTCTTTGTGGGCTACCCAAAAGAAACCAAAGGGTATTACTTCTACAATAAATCCGAGAACAAAGTGTTTATTGCTCGTGATGGTGTCTTTTTGGAGAAGGAACACCTTTCCAAAATGACAAGTGGGAGGAAAATCGAACTCAACGAAGTTCGAGAGGACGAGCAACAGTGTCAACCTTATAAAACTGACAATCAAAATGCTTTAGAAGCAGTTGATAAGATTGGTCAGAATCAAACAGACAATGTAAATGCTCAACCTATTACCCTTCGTAGGTTGCAACGGCCAAGATCTCAACCAGACAGATACCTTGATATTGTCTTAACCAAAGATTAGGACATCCTAGTCATGGATGGAGATGAGCTAGCGACATACAAACAAGCTATGACGAGCCCCAACTCTGCTAAATGGAAAGAGACCATGAAATCTGAGATGGACTCCATGTCTGAAAATCAAGTCTAGGACTTGGTAAATTTGCCCGAAGGTTACACACCCATCGGTTGCTAATGGATTTTCAAATTGAAAATAGACAAATATGGAAATTTATCAATATACAAAGTTAGACAGGTGGCAAAAGGTTACAGGAAAATCCATGGGATTGATTATAATGAAACCTTTTCCCCAGTCGCAATGCTTAAGTCCGTCCGGATCATCCTAGCAATTGCTGCATATTACGATTACAAAATATGGCAAATAGACGTCAAAACCGCCTTCCTTAATGGGATTTTGGAAAAAACTGTGTATATGACACAACCGGAAGGTTTTGTTGATCCATGCGATGCTGGAAAAGTATGCAAGCTTAAGAAGTCCATTTATGGACTGAAGCAGGCAAACAGAAGTTAGAATCTGCGATTTGATTGGAATCTGCGATTTAATGAAGCCATCAGCAAGTTTGGTTTTATCAAGAATATGGATGAGTCTTGTGTTTACAAGAAGGTCAGTGGGAGTGACATCGCATTCCTAGTCCTATATGTCGATGACATATTGCTCATTGGAAACAACACAAAATTATTAGAGTCCGTAAAGAGCTGGCTGGGAAAGTGTTTTTTCAATGTAGGACTTAGGAGAGGCACAATACATATTGGGCATCAAGATCTATAGGGATAAATATAAGAGGATGATTGGATTGAGCCAGAGCACTTACATTGATAAAGTACTGGCCCGATTCAGCATGGAGAATGCCAAGAGAGGGCACTTACCCATGTCCCATGGCGTAACTCTCAGCAAGAAACAGTGTCCACAGACACCTGTTGAGCGGGAGAGAATGAATCAGATTTCATATGCTTTACTAATCGGATCGATCATGTATGCCATGATATGTACTAGGCCTGATGTATCGTACGCCTTAAGTGCTACGAGCCGATACCAATCAGACCCAGGAGAGGCGCATTGGACTCATCCAAGAATATCCTAAAGTACCTAAAAAATAACAAGGATAAATTCCTTGTCTATGGTGGCCATGAAGACTTGATTGTTGAAGGTTACACTAACGCTAGCTTCCAGACTGACAGAGATGACCTCAAGTGTTTAGTTGGAAGAGTGCCAAGCAAAGCACTACTGCAGATTCTACAACTGAAGCCGAATACTTGGCAGCTTTGGAAGCCGCTAAGGAGGCAGTTTGGATTCGTAAGTTCGTTAGTAAACTTGGTGTTGTACCCTCCATCAAGGGTCCAATAGATCTCTATTGTGACAAGGGAATGGAAATCCGAAGGTGAAATCAGAATTTGTAAGATCGGGACGGATGAGAATGTGGCCGATCCTTTGACTAAACCTCTACCTCAAGTGAAGCACAACAAACACGTCGAGGCAATGAGAATCAAGCACGTTGGAGATTGGATTTGAATTCCCTATACATATGTTTTAATTAAACTAGACGTCTTAATGTAAAACACTATGTAGAAACCATTCATTTTTTGAGTAATCAATTTTTATGAATTACTATTCACTCCATTGGTATTTAATTGTGGTTTAGAATTAAATAATGAGTCCATTCGATTTCTGAGAATATTCAAAACAGGGTATCAAGACCATGTCCTGGATAAAGAAATACTTATTAAGTGAACATTGAATATATAAATCGAAAATTATCCCTAATCGAGGTCATTTAACTGATGGACGATCAATGACCACCAGAGATTAGTGTGTAGTATGATCTACATCACCGTTTCTTGTGTTGTAAGGACACAGTAGTCATAAATCATTTGCAAAGGTGCTAGTTTGGAACCGCACCGGATTGACCTATGAGAGTACTTTAAGAGATTTAAAAAAGTCATAAGTACATTTCTCATTATAACTATTGGAACCTATTTCCTCGACCATGAGTATTGGGAAGTTCTCTTGTTTGAGTACTAGTCTCTTTGATGTTTTCTAACGTCTGCCGTAACTGGGGACTATAATGGGAACACTCGGGAGATTAGGTCCTCATAGTAAGAAAGGCTTACAGTACAAGACTGCGAATGTCCCCCTACTAACAATAGGGAATATGTCTATGTTTTTTACAAGGCCGCTAAAAGAGAGAGACAGTGAAAATGCATGGTCGTGCTCAGATGGATTTTAGAAAGCATCTGCTTATTGACAGTCGAACTCGAAGATCGAGAAACACTTCTGGACGTAATAAGGATGACGAATATTCTTACCTTATAGTTCATGAAGAGACATTAAGTGACATAGGATATGGGCCATACACTATATGCACACTTGTCTTGACTGAACCCTTCGGGTCGAACCCAAACGAACTGCCGATCCGAATCGACGAATTTATCCGGAGGATTTGATGAGTCACTAGAGTATAACGAACACAGACGTCGGATATCGAGCCTAGGGCGTTGAGATCGAGCGTCGCAAAATCAACAAGGAACAAGTTCGAGCAAAGTCGTAGCATCACATTGGCCTAGCCATGTTGTTGCTAGGCTAGCTTGAGCTAG